AAATAATAGAAAGAGAGTATGGAAGGCAGCTGCCAAAAAATGTGGGCTAGCTGGCAGCTGTGATGGATTACCTAGTAACAAAGATGAAGAAGTCTTAGCAAGAGTGCACAGAGAGAGAATAAAACACAAGGTGTAGGAAGAGACAAAAGCGGGGAAAAGGCTATGGAACAACAAAAATGTGTTGTTCAAGTGTGTAGATGAAGAAACTACAACTTTATTTGCTACAAATAAAAAGAGAGGAGAGACAACTAGTATTAGGAAATCGCCAAGATTGTTTTAATATTATTTTTCCCTATTAAAAAATAATGAAGGCGGTTATTCATTAGTAAGAAGTAAAGTTATTCTTATTAAAAATTACAGATTGTACTGAAAGGCACAGTGTCTCTTTTGAGAGTCTAAAATGACAGAAAATATGCATTACATACTTTTTAGCAAGATACTAAGACTAAATTTTCCATGTGACTTTGTAGCAAAAAGCTGAATTCTATCATTTTTATGGAAGCAAGAAAAAAATACAAAAAATAAGATGCTGTGATTAATAATAAGCTGTGCTTCCAGGAAGTATCTGAATTAAAGTGCTTTTATTTGATAATATCCCTAGATGAGAATTTTTTCCATATGACTACAAATGATGTGGAGGATATATAAACTAGGATACCTTTTAAACATGCATCATTATAACAATGCATCCATAATAGAAAAGAAGTGTATTAATTAAGCTCAGAGAAAAAAAGCAGTGATGCATGCAATACAGCAATGATAAGCAGTAAAGGCATATTAGATAAGTTTTTTGCCCCGGGCTAATTAGCTCCAGGACAAGGTTTATACGTGAAGCAGTACTGAGTGAAAAAAAGAAGGAATTTCTGCATATGTTTTTCCTTCACCTTCCCACTGGCAAATTCTTTGTACAAAATTGTACCACCTTACTTCTTCTTGTCTTGGTCATATGACTGCTCATTCCAGTGAGTGAAGGTGGAGTCCACTGCTGAGACACCATCATAAACTTAATTATTACCATCACTTTCTCCCATAGCATTGTTTCACATTTGTTCTTTCTTCCTTCCCCCACTTTTGAGGGTCTAAAGCATACATTTGTCAGAAGGAAAATATTAAAAACCAATGAAAGTCTATTAAGTATCTAAAAAACTTTTCTCATGTTAGTTTAAAAAACCGTTGCAGAAACTAAATTTGTAATTCCCCCAATAGATGAAATAGTAACAATAGAAATAATTGTTGGATAAATATGGACTTTTTTTTTTTTTTTTTTTTTTTAATAGAAGTCCATAATAACTGAATCCCTGTTTGCTTTTTCTTTGGTTTGTTTGCTTTAAAACACATAATGCTTGCTTAGTGCAGGCAGATGGATATTTTACTATAGAGTTGCCACAGTCCTTAGTGTTAAATCCTTCTGAAAAGAGTCTGTTTAGTAAGGCTCTGTTATGCAGTAATATACCCACACTATTTTCAGTCAGCTCAAAGTTTTAGTAGGACTAGCTCCTATTCACCTGCAAAATTCTGCCTAAACATAAATAAAGATAAGTGATGGTCTTCTAAGGTAGTTTGTAGGAGCTGTGAATCCTTTGCACAAGAGCTTTATTTTTTAATGCTCCTAAAGATACAGAATCAGCCACATGACTTGTAAACTCTAAAAGAAGTTAACAAAGGTGCAAAAAAGCACATAGGCAATAATTACCAGGTCTAAATGCAGCAATTATTTCCCTACTTCAGAAGAGAAATTACTGCCATATTTGTTAACAGGAAAGCCTCATAACTTGAGGATTCCATGACTATTTATAAATATCTAAAATGCAGGAGTCAAGTTGAAGGGAGTAGCCATTTTTTCACTAGTGAGCAACAATAGAACACAGGGCAGTGGGCACAATCTGGAACATAAACACAATTTTCTTCTTTTTTTTTTTCTTTGAGGGTGACAGAGCACTGGAACAGGCTGCCCAGAGAGGTCATGGAGCCCCCTTCATTGGACATATTTAAGACTTGCCTGGACTTCCCTGTGAAGCTTGCTTTAGGGAGCTTTCGCAGGGGCTTGGACTGAAACTCCAGGGGTCTCTTCCACACCTCCAGTTGTGTGGTTCTGTGAAAAATCGATGACTCAAAGCCTACTGCAAACACTTCAGTATGAAGACTCTAAGATTTACTGAAAGCAAAACTGAAACATGGGTGTCTCATTGCTAAGTTTTACACTTGAACTAGTGCGTTGTAACCCAGGGACAGTGAGGTTTGTAACAGCACACCTGCAGAGCACAGATTAAAAATTCAAAATATCTTCCACAGATTGTAAATTAGGTGCCTTAAAAAATATATATATATCTAAATTTGGAGGATGTTTTGATGAAGACTTTATCTTTTAGAAAAATATTAGGATTTTCACAAGGCTGTGAGTCAAGGTTTGGGAAAGCTCACTGCAAAATGTGAAGAAGTAGCAACATTGTAACAGATGGGCAATCTGAAGTTCTGGCAAGTTTTATAGAGTGAGGTGACATCTCTCATTGGGTCAGATGATATGCTTAGAAAATTGGCCAGCTTTTAAACTCAGTGTTTTTCCATCACCTTGGAAGTTGTAACAAAAGGATAAATTTGGATAATATAATGTTACTTTTAATAATACTAAATTATATTGGTTATATACATGAACTGAAGTTGCAAGCCTTAGCCAAACTGGAAAAGTTATTAGGAATTTTGAAGGGAAAAAAATGCACAGCTTTAGCAACAGTTAATCCACCCCAGGGTGCTCTTGTAGGCTGTCCACAACCACCAAGCATTGAAGTTTTGGCACTCATTGCATCTGAAAACTGAACCTCTTTCAATAGCTATCAGAATCGATATGATGATAGGAACAGTCCTCATAGCCATCATAGAATCACAAGGTTGGAAACGACCTACAAGATCTTCTAGTCCAACTGTTTCCTCATCACCATTGCCACCATAAGCACTAAACCATATCACGCAGATGCCTCTTGAACACTGCCAGGGATGGGGACTCCACCACCTCCCTGGGCAGCCATTGCAGTGCCTGACCACTCTCTGAGAGAAAAAGTTCTTCCTTATGTCCAACCTAAACCTCCTCTGATACAACTTGCGTCCATTAACCCGTGTGCTGCTCGTTGCCTGGGAGAAGAGGCCAAATCCCTCTTCACCACAACCTTCCTTCAGGAGGTTGCAGAGTGCAATGAGGTCTCCCCTGAGCCTCCTCTTCTCCAGACTGAACAATCCCAGCTCCCTCAGCCGCTCCTCATAAGGTTTGTGCTCCAGACCCCTCACCAGTTTTGTTGCCCTTCTCTGGACATGTTCCAGGACCTCAACATCTTTCCTGTAGTGAGGGGCCCAAAACTGAACACAATACTCGAGGTGCGGCCTTACCAGTGCTGAGTAGAGGGGGATGATCACCTCCCTGCTCCTGCTGGCTACAGTATTTCTAATGCAGGCCAGGATGCTGTTTGCCCTCTTGGCCATGTGAGCACACTGTTGGCTCATGTTCAGCCAAGCATCAACCAACACCCCCAGTTCCCTCTCTTCTTCACAGTCATCCAGCCACTCATCCCCAAGCCTATAATGCTGCATGGGGTTGTTGTGGCCAAAGTGCAGGACCTGGCACTTGGCCTTGTTGAACTTCATCCCATTCACCTCACCCCAGTGGTCCAGCCTGTCTAAATCCCCCTGAAGGCCCGCCCTACCCTCAGGCAGATCAACACCACCTCCCAGCTTGGTGTCATCTGCAAACTTACTGAGGGTGCACTCAATGCCCTTAGCTGTGCCTTAACACAGCTTCCAGGAGGATCTGCTCCGTGATCTTCCCAGGCGCAGAGCTGAGGCTCACCAGCGTCACCCTTTCTTAAACATGGGAGCAACGTTTCCCTTTCTCCAGTCAATGGGACTTCACCGGACAGCCATTATTGTTCAAATATGATGGAGAGCGGCTTGGCAGCCACATCAGCCATCTCTCTCAGAGCCCCAGGATGGATATCATCCTGCCCCATGGATTTATATGCATTCAGTTACACCAGGAGGACTCGGCCTTGTTCCACCGTTACAGTGCGACGGAATCCCACCCCCGTCTAACTCCAATCTCCCCTCTTTTACGTCAGAACCATTCCCCCTTTGTCCAATCACCATCACCACACAAAAAGTTTGTTTCCCTCCTCTTTATAATCTCCTTTGAAACAATGGCAGGCTGCATTGAGCAGCCACAGCAAGCGGTGGTGATGGGGCAGGCACAGAGCAATGCCTGTGTCACCACGGCACCATGTCACAGAGGCGCACTGGGACCTCAGGGAAGAGGGGCTGACCCCAGCAGTCACTCTGGGGTCCCCCCACTGCCACTCTCGAGCTACCATGGCAGGTAAGGCAGCAGGCTCCCTCTCTCCTGGCACTGTGGCCCTCCAGGGGATGCCAGTGCCCCAGATCTCACCCCAGCGCCCATCTGGGCATTTCTCCACAGAGAGAATTTCTTCACAGATGCTGACGGTGCTTCCGACACCCGACGCAATTATCCCTGGATCCTGTGTGCGTCCATTGGCCCCTGCTGCAATGCAGCCCAGCATCAGCGGAGCAGGGCCAGTGTCGATCTAACCCCTCCCTGTCCCCAATGTCACCTACATGGTGCCTCAGGCTTCTGTCTGGACTGGGGTACCAGGTGTCCAAGGACAGGGAGTGCAGCTCCCACCTGGGCGGATGCCCCAAACAGTGGTTCAGCTGCCACCTGGGGGGGTCTCCCAAGTGGTTCAGCTGCCACCTGGGGTGATGCCCCAAGTTGTGGGTCAGCTCCCACCTGGGGTGAAAACCCAAGTTGTGGGTCAGCTCCCACCTGGGGGGATGCCCACAACAGTGGTTCAGCTCCCACCTGGGGGGGTCCCTCAAGTTGTGGGTCAGCTGCCTGCTGGGGTGATGCCCCAAGTCGCGGGTCAGCTCCCACCTGGAGGGAAGCCCCCAGCTGCAGGTAAGCGACAACATGGGAGGAAGCCCCGAGCTGTGGGCAAGCGGCCATGTGGGGGGAAGCCCCCAAACTGTGGGTCAGCTCCCACCTCAGGGGGGTGCCTCCCATTGTTTTTCAGCTCACTCCTGAGGGGTTGCCTACAGCTGTGGGTCATCTCCAACCTGGGGGGCAGCAGTTACCCCTGCTCATGCTCCTACCCGGGGGCATGAAGCTGGGTATGCCTCCCCCCAGTGACCCTGCCCACTGCTGGGATCATCCCCCAGTGGCAGGGACAGTGCAGCCCCAGCAGCTGATGGGGCTGCAGCCTGGGGCTGCGTTGTGTGGGCAGCCCCCGCAGCCCACAGGCAGCTGCCTGCTGCAGGCTCCCAACCACCCGGGCCCCTCAACTGTCCTCCAAGGACCTCTGGTGCAGCAGCAGGTGCTCCTTGTGCCTGGCACCCTGCCCACCATCTTAGAGCAGGAGGAGGAGCCCTTTGGAGACGCCATGGTGCACACAGAGGACCAGGGGCAGCCAGCACCCATCAGCGTGTGCCCCCATCCCACCAGGGCTTCACTTACCTGCAGCATCGCAGCGCTGGAATCAGGTGGTGAGTTTGGGGGCTGCAGAGCGGGCAGCAGGCTGGCCGTACTGGGTGGCTGTGGGAAAGATGGCATTGCCTCACTGTGCATTTTCTTGCTTTTCCAGCAGCAACAACCAGCTCAGACATCCCGGAGGACATCACTGACATCGGTGACCTCCTGGCTTGGATGAACAGCGGTGAGTTTGGGGGCAGCAGAGCTGGCGGGCGAGTTTTTGCACCCATTTGGTGTGGGAAAGCTGGCCTTAACCCTGTGGCGATTTTCTTTCTCTTCCAGAAGTGGCACCCAAAGAGGTCCCGGACAACATCCCGGGCATGGATGATGACTCGGCCAAGTGCCCAGCCCCTCCCTGCACCACCAGTGGGCACCAGCAGAGCACTGGCAGCATCCAAGCCACCAAGAGGAAGCTGCCGCAGAGCCAGGATGCTCCAGAGCAAAAGCACTCACGCTAGGCAAAGCTGGGTGGGCTCAGCAAAAATGGGAGCATCAGAGTCACTCTTTTTGAAGCACAACAAACATTTTCCAGAAATAAACATTAAACAACATTCCTTCCTATGTTGTGGGCATCACTGTGGGAATTTCCAGCTGATAGAACCAGCATCCCATTTCCTGGCACCCCATTTGACTGTCTTTGTTAAAAACTAGCTGAATCCAGCACAGTTTCTGTCCCAGAGAGTTAGCCATTCCTGGTTCACCAGAACTGAATCCACACATCTCACCCATCCCAGCCCAATAGGTGCTGCTGCTACTCCTCTTTTCAAGTCCTTTGGCAGTCATACTACGCATGAGCTTCAAGAGATAGACACATGTAAGTCATACTACACACAGAGGGCAACAATATGGGTAATCACAAAGACTAGCCCAAGTACCTTTGATGTACCCCTGAAATACTAACTGCAGTCACAAGAACACAGACAGATAGTCCCACCCCACCACTGCACTCTCATCATTGAGATACATAGACCTTCCATTTCTCCAATCGCAATTCCCGCATATGCACAGGCCCTATGCATATGAGCTCAGGCTCTACATCTACCTGAACTGCTGGGCCCTGGATCCCCTCAATCAGTCTTGTCTCTCACCTCTGTCTCTCCCAATGTGGCCTTCACTGGTTAGTCCAGCCTGAAACTCACTAGCAAGTTACATAGCCTCCACACAGAAGGACCAGTTTCAAGAGTACCCAGAACCTGATATCTCCTGTTGCTGCCCATCTGACCTTCACACTGCTGTGACACTCTTTGAATATCAGAGCTGAAAGTTCATTTATGATTATGAAGCCTGGAAATTCTTCACCCTTATCTCTGATAGCATAAATGGCCTTCTCCCTGAATGGTAATTAAAATGAGAGACAATTAGAAAAAAGTAATAATAAAAAAATGTGCAGGAGTATGCTTTAGCCTGAACTGTTCTCTGTTACAAGAAAGCAAGAAAGGAGTGACTATTACCAGCTGCAAAGTTTACTAAATTATCTCATGCTTGTCTGTATTCAACCATAATCAGTGTCAGATACCTTTGTCTTAACCCAGTCTGGGCAAGTAATAAATAATGAGACCTACAGCCAGTTTCTTGTTGGGATCACACAGGCTCAGAGAAAAGAATTATTTATCCCCTTACCATGCAATATGTTTTAATGGAATGTGTGCCATTGTTGGTCCAGACTTTGTTACCTGATTTGCTACTCTACTATCCTCACATTTCATATGACTGTTCTTCTCTTCCTTCTCAGCATTGCATTTTTGCCTGGTAAGATCAGACTCTGATACAGTGCTCATTGTTTGTACAAGGTTGTGAAAGCTTTTGGCAAATAAGATTAGTGGGGCTCTGTGGGAGACAAGCATGTACTTGAGTATACCATATTATTTAGATATCCCTTTCTAGATATATCATGTCTCATCAGTTCTGTAGCATAAAAGTCTGTATCTAATCAGCCTCTGAATTATCTTGCTTGTGTAAGAGAAAAAAAACCTATGGGCAAATAGTTAGCAATTAACACTACACTAAAGCAGTAATGCATTTCTTCATTAACAGAAAAAATAACAGCATAAAGAAAAAGTATCATGATGGATATAGGAAAACAGTACTGTCAGAATATTATATCAAAATATTTTTCTCTTTTTTTTTCCCCTCTACCACCACAATGTAATTACAACACTTAAGAAGAAACAAACTTCTCTACTGTTCCTAACAAAAGCAAGATGGAGAGACTACTGAAAACCGTGAAGGGTGACTCATGTCTCCTAAGTTCTGTGTCTAAAAATATAAGCAACAATTTAATCACATTTCTGTTTTCAGTATTTGAATTCTAGGAAAAGAATTGTTGTCTGCCAGTGCATATTCTGTAAAAGAGTAGAGATTTGAAGCAATCAACAGAGATTTGAAGCCTGCACTAGAAATAGATTGGCCAGCAGGAGCAGGGAGGTAATTAATCATCCCCCTGTACTCAGCACTAGTGAGGCCGCACCTCGAGCATTGTGTTCAGTTTTGGCCCTTCACTACAAGAAAGACATTGAGGCCCTGGAACGTGTCCCGAGGAGGGCAACAAAACTGGTGAGGAATCTGTAATACAAGTCTTACAAGGAGCAGCTGAGGGAGCTGGGATTGTGTAGTATGGAGGAAAGGAAGCTCAGGAGAGACCTCATTGCACTTTACAACTTCCTGAAGGGAGGTTGTGATGAGGAGGAGTTTAGCCTCTTCTCCCTAGCAACAAACATCAGGACCCGAGGAAATGGCAGCAAGTTGCACCAGAAGAGGTTTAGGTTAGACATAAGGAAAAACTTTTCTCTCATAGAGTGGTCAAGCACTGGAATGGCCTGCCCACGGAGGTGGTGAAATCACCGTCCCTGGCAGTGTTAAGAGGCATCTGGATAAGGAGCTACGAGATATGGTTTAGTAGCTTGTGGTAGCAATGGTAATGGGAGGACAGTTGGACTAGATGACCTTCTAGGTCCTTTCCAACCTCATGATTCTATGATTCTATGATCACCATGTTAAAAAATCATCAAGATATTATAATACATTAAGGCATGACAGAAACAAAATTGCCTATCCTTTCCTCGTATGATTACATACTTTTTTCCTTTTCCTCCACTGACAGTATAGGGTGGATCTCCTCTGTTACAAAAAAAATCAATGCTATGTGATGAGGAAAGCTGGTTACTGCAGAATTCTTGCCTGTTACTAAATTCAGAAAGAGTGACTAATGTGATTCCAAGCAGAGAGAAAAGGTCTTATTAGTCAAAGAAAATGAATGATTCTCTGGAAAATTCCTGTCAAGTCATTTAATCTCTCTCTTCACAGATGGTCACTATTATGTTCCTTATTTCCTAAGCGTTCAACTTGATGAGCTGATAATTAATTGATGGACATGCTGCTCCATCACAGCAACAAATGAGAATGAAAAGAAGGTGAGTTCTGGACATCAGAAGTCCCTTTCAGCGCTAAGCATTCTGAAATTAACAGATACTAGAAACGTCAAATTAGGAACTTGCTCTTGCAGAACCCTATTACGCTTATCTTACCAGTTCTTCTCTTCAATTACAAAATAGAACTCTTTCCTCAGCAGACAACACAGGGTGATGAATTGATAATGATTTTCATTCTTGGTACAATGGTAATGGTTTCTATAAAGTCCAGAAGCAAATTTTGAAAAAGGTACCATAGGATGAGATTGAAACATTGTTGAATATGGAGAGTAGATAATACAGAGATACTGCTTTAAATATTGTATATGATAATGCTATTATTAATTTTACATAGTACACAGTCTCATGTAGATATTACCTATCTTGAATTTTCTATTAGGAGCTGATTTCTGTATGCAACTCATTTTGAAGAAAGAGAGGCAATATTCACTAATGTAAAAATAAAACACAACTTAGATTCCTACATACTTGATGTTAGGAGACAGTATATCTTATTAATTTACATGTAACAAATATTTATGTATTTATTTATTTATTTATTTTAAGGCATTTCCTTGTGATCCAGATACATGAATTCTATAGTTGAAACTTGAAGCTTGAATACATCAGGATTTGAGCATTATATGCAAAAGTACAAAATACAAAATGCAAATAAACTAAAAATACACAAAAACATTAAAAAAGCATTTGTGCAATGAAGCTGAGATAGTATTCTCCCAAAAAGTTTACAAAATGTCACATCTATGAGAAGAGACTGAAGGAACTGAGGCTGTTCAATCTGGGGAAAGGAGGCTGAGGGGAGACCTTTTTGCTCTCTTCCAACATCGGAAAGCTGCTTACAGCGAGAGTGGTGTTGGTCCTGCCTCACTGGTGACAGGATGAGGGGAAATGGCCTGAAGTTGTGCCAGGGTAAGATTAGGTTGGATATCAGAAAAAACTTCTTTACTGAAAGGGTTGTTAAGCACTGGAATAGGGTTTCCAGGGAGGTGGTTGAGTCACCATCCCTGGATGTGTTTAAAAACCATTTGGATGTGGTGTTCAGGAACATGATTTAGCAGAAAATTGTTAGACTTAAGGTAGTACAGTTAGGTTGCAGTTAGACTTGATCATCTTTAAGGTCTTTTCCAACATGAGTGATCCTATGATTCTATCTGTTTGCATCTCAAACTTGCAGCAACTTCTGCAAATATTTGACCACCAATTGTATCTTGAGCTCAAGTACTCAAGCTCTTTCATCAGAAGTGACATGCTTTTCCCTGAATTTATTAGCCTGAGTTTGGTGAAAATGCCAATAATTTTCCTTACCCTTACATTTTCATGAAGCAATTCAACAAACTAGACAATGATCTGTTTCTATGCTTTACAGTCCTGATCATACAGAAGTGATGACAAAAAAAAAAAAAGACAGATGTTAAACGCAGTTCTTTTTCCACATAGCTTGTCTCTTGTCTTTCTCTGTATGTACTTTATTCTGTATTCTCTCATCTACTGTGTATATACTTCATATGTCTATTTACAAATGTGTTCAAGATATTCAGGATATTTAACTGATTTAACAAGTCAATTTTAATTACTAATTCAAATAATGAATCAGGATCATAAACCTTGAGGACCTATATTTCCTTCTCTCCAAACCCAAGTTCTGAAGTCACGTTAAATCTTTATATGTAGGAGACTAACGATATTTAAAATAACAGAGAAAGTAGAACACCATAAAGAATGCTGAGTTTTAGCGTGATTGCAATTATTGTCATGTTCAAATATATATTGGCAACTACATTAAATGTCTTAGCAAAACTTAGGAAAAAAAAGACATCAATAGATGCCTCCTGTCAGAAACAAACAAACAAACAAACAAACAAACAACATTTAACCATAGTAGCTGCCACTGTTTATTCCCAGAATCTTCTTAATAATAGTTTTTATGTTTTTCAAGTTTGCTTATGAAAGATTCATATTGCAGGCTTATAATTATGAAAATTATCCTTTCTGCTGTAGTGCCCTATTAGGAATTTTTGGTGCTAGGCATG